CAAGGTCGTTCAAGAAGGGAGGCCGAACACGATAAGGACACACTTGCCTAGCCAGAATCAAGTCACAAGTAATGTCTAGCAATTCATATTCTCAAGTATTCCAGGTATTTAAATTAAATATACAGGTCATATGCAGATCAGGTTACTTGTTCATGTGTGAGGGAGATATCAAGTATTTAGTCAAGTTGGGTCAATTGAGTGTACAAAAGAGTACACTCGTCTAAACAAGTTCAAGTCACAATAAGTTCAGCATATCATGTTTCAAGCATTTCAAGTATTTCAAGCCCAAACTGTTGAAAATTGGGTGGTTACGAAAAATTGATCAAATAAGAAGAACTGGAGAAAATTAGAAATTTTTTTTTTAGCAAATCCAGTCACATATCAGTTATAACAAAATGGCTAGTACATATTTTAATAAAATATCAAAAGTTTAGTCGAGCGAGATCAAGTACAATAAAGTACAAACTTGTCTATGAGACAAGAAATCAAGTACCTAGCATTGCCTAACAATAATGAGCATGTAACATGTAAGTCGGTGGGATGACCACCCGAGTGACTGACAAGTTAAGTGCAAACAAGCCATTTCATTTCATATGAATATCACGAAGTGAACTACAAAGGATTGAGTATGATAAAGTATATCCTCGTCCCAAGGGTCATCAATTCAAGAGCAATTACTTTATCCAAATAAGCATGCTATTCAAGCAAGCAGACATTCCACGTAAATATTTTCATGTACTTGGAACACTCACATGTTAAGAAATGCAGAGCTTAAATGTCAAGTTCCTTGGTTACGTTCACCTCTGTTTCCCAATCCTAGGGCGACGAGTGAAATCGTTAACGATCTAGGTTCAAATGTGAGCTCATTAGGTGACCAAGTGAGTGGTTGAATCTACTCAATCTACCATACAAGTTAGGCCTAAAATGCAATAAAGTTCATGAGAAAACAAGTTTGACAAATGCAAGAGAGTTGGGCAAAAGAAAAGTTTTATTCAAGCTCAGCTTGTTCTTCGCGGGTAAAACAGTGGCGCCCTTGCTGTCTTGGGATAATGGCTATATCTCACTGTAGGAAGGTTGGAATCAGATGCCGTTAGCTGCGTTGGAAACTAGACTCAAAGGTCTTTCCAACGGTGCCAAATGCACACTCAATTTCATCCCCTATCTGTACCAGTAGCTCGGACAATATGGCTGATGTTTCAGTTCTGATCAGCTTCAATGCCTTAACAAAGTTACACTAATTCTTGTTGCTAACTTCATTTGTTTTGGTTCAAATTCACCCAATTCAATCTTCTAGGGTTCGTAAACAGGGGAACAAGTTAACTAGTATCATTGGAGCTCAAAATGCAACACACATAATTGATTTAAAGAGCCAAAACAGTCTAGTCAACCAAAGGAATCAAAACAGCCCACTATTTGCTCAAAACAACCACTTTTCTTGCTTATTTTTCATTCAACTCACACCAAACCATGAGCAAATATGTAGCCAAGCTTCTTAGGCTTAAATGAGGTGCAAACGAACTATAGAATCAAGGAGAAACCTCCCACTTCAAAACCTGTCAGCCATGAGAAGCAAAACAGTCCACTAGTTCTTCATACAACACCAACCTTCATCCTCTGTCAAGTGTTATCTTTAACTCAAAAAGGGTCTAAAACATGTTATTACTTCAAGAAAAACCATGAACAAAGCTCAAACATTTCATCAAATACATGGTAGGCAAACCAACCAACCCTACTACCCCTTGTTTAGTTCAAGAAGATTCACCACAAATACCATCCAAACAACTACTAGCTTGTCATCAAAACTTAAAACATATGATATATCACAAGAAATCTAGGATTTAAGGTTCATGTACCTCTCTTATATGAAGCTTGAACCACCAAAACCAAAGCTCCTTGCTTGAAACACACACTAGTGTTGGACGTTGTTTACTCAACTAACTCAAGTCCTTCACTTTTGATTTTTGCTCAAGATCAAGCTAGGGTTTAAAAAGCAAGAAGATGGAGTTTTCTTCCTTCCTTTGGAAGCTTCAATGGTGGACGAAATTATGGGAAAGAAATGAAGCAAAGTTGGTTTAAAATTCCTCTAATCCTTTGATCAAATAAGATATGTGGTTAGGGTTTTGCCACTTGGCCTAATCTTGGCCCTTTCTTCCCTTAATCTTTGACTAATGATGTTTCTACCCTCCAAATGTTCCAATATCTATTTAACACCTCTAAACTATCATATAAAGTCCCAACCACAAATAAAAGAATATTGTGCCCATGTGTGTGTGGTGAAATAAAATAAAACCAACTCAAGGGAATGTTATAATTCAAATAAAAGTAATAAAGTGCAATGTAAAAGAATGTTATAATGCATGTAGAATGCAATGCAAGGACATGTTATAAGTGATTTAAATCTTAGGGTAAGGTATGTAGTTTAGGAGAATTGTATTTTAAAGTGAGGGTTCTCACACTATTTGTTATTTACACTTATTTAGCTCTTGCTTTGCAATGAAAGTTACTCACCCTCTCTCTTATTTATGTATACCATTTGTGTATCAATGCTTTTATGATCAAATGATGTTTTATTTCTTGTAGTAAATACCTCTCTATTGTCAAATGCTACTGGTGCATTTATGTAACTTATACATATATATATATATATATATGCATATATAGTGGTTTGTCATAATATTCATTCTTCCCTTCACCATGTATTAAATATTTTTGCATGTGCTTTTCCTGCTACAATCATATTTAAATATTTTCTCTCTTTGGCCTTTACTCTTTTCCCTATGTCTGTTCCCCTCATTCATTATTAGTTTTAGCTAGACATGTTCTACCTCTTTTGTCCCTCTTATTCAAAAAAAATTCTATCCATGCTCAAACTCTTTGTCTTACTATGTTTACTTTTTAACTTTTCCCATGTCTTTATTAAATAGCCAATTAGCATATTGACCATGTTTACTGTTTCTAACTTCTGTTTTTTAGATTAATTCTTAGAGACTTTTTTGTTTTATCCCTGTGAATGCTTCATCAATTACTACATTTTTTTTGTGACAATGCACATATCGAATGAATAAGTAGTTGAATTTGTCTAATTCTATATCATTATATCTGATCTTTCTGTGTTTTTCACTATCTCAACTTGTATCTGTCTCTCTCTCACTATTCATTCTTTTTAACTGTATTCACATGTAACTTTGCTCTTTTGTTAATATTCCAGATATTATCTCAAACATTTTATCAAGAAATTTGGTATTAGTAAAGATTCGTAGAGTGCCCTAATTTTTATCTACTAACAGCCACATTTCATAGCAATGCTTGCTCTGATTTTTTTCTCTTTGTAAATTGATTTCCATATTACTAATTGTATTTGCTAAACTAAATTTGCTAGCTAGAACTCTTATTTTTCACCATTCTTCCATCCCCATCCCACATTCATCACTGAGGTATTTTTCTTTTTATTCATGTTTTCTCGCTAAAATTGATTTTAGAGAATTCTATTCATTTTCTTTTCTTCATTGTGCTTCTTTATCTTACATTTCCCTATTATATCAGTCTTTAACAAACTAATTAAATTTTAGTCAACCCACCATACATACTATCTTCCTAATTCAATACATATTTTGTGTTTGTTCTTCTCTGCTATATCATTCTATTTGTCAAAGAATTTCCTATGTGTCTTTCATCTTCAATAACTTAATAGCATGCAATAGTTTGTTATATGGCTCACAAGTGGAAAAAAGCGTATCTAATGATAAAGGTGATTAAAAAAAAATCATCGCCGCCGAGAGTGGTGTGCACTCAGAGTCATGGAAAAAGAAAACGAAATTGTTTTACCTCCTAAAATCAAAGAAGTAATGCATGTTTTGATAGTCACATCAGAGATAATTCTCAAAATAGTGCAACAAATGTCTCTACCTCTAATTCTATTTTACCTGATAACAAATGTGTTTGCAACAATCCATTATATAGTGTCGACCTCAATATGCGTTTTTGTCTCATCAACTTCTACAAGTCCATTTGTTTTTTGCTCAAATATGCTTTTGCACATGGATAATTGTATGTTGCTATGTTCAAAGTTAAAATTGCTGACAATGTCAAAATATTATTAAGACTCCCCTACCTAATTCAGTTTCTAATAACTTGAGTAGGAATGTTGTTTATTGTGAAATACTTGATCCTACATCTTATTCTTGAGTAATCACCATGCATTAGCCTTGGTTATTATGAGTTCATTCCACCCAGCCTCATAAATATCTGCTTTTCTTTTTTCTTTCCTTAACATATTTTCAATATGTTTTAGTAATGTAAGAAATGTGCATACCAATTATTGCATTCATAGAAAATAGGGGGCTAGCTCGAGTTCAGCCCCAAAAAAAGCCCACTAAACCTAAGTTTTAATTGGATCTGACAGAGATTGGGCCTAAATATTATGTTTGTGCTAAATATAAGTCGGGTTTAGGCATTGTTAGGCCCAAGTTAGATTAAGACCTAGTTTGTATATGAGTATAATTATATATATAAATATCTAATAAATAATAATATCCATAATTTATAATTATACATATTATGACATAAATGTTAATAATTTATGTATAAATTTATACTAATTCATAATTATAAAATATACATTGTATATAATTATTTATTTAATTATGAACCTGGGTCGAGCTTAATTTGAAACCAAAACTTATATAATTGTGTGAGTTGCATTTGAACCTTTTAATTTTCACCCAAAGTCTGAAAGCTTGAAGGCAAAAATCATATAATTTATGAATTGATAGGCTTTTTTTTTTTGGCAAAAACCCCGTACACGGGGTGGGGATGTCAGCCCCTATTTTATTTTATTAAAATTGATGGGATGATACAAAGAATGGAAAATGTTTGCTGCAAAGAGCAGGCAATGGGGAGCAGTACTCCCTTACGCTCCGGCATTGTGGGAAGGGGAATTCTCTGCTATCCAAGCGTACCAAAGCCCTAACTGATCTCGGGAGTTGAGAATATGAAGTGCACTATAGCTCATGGCCCACAGTTTCCTCGTGTGAGAGGCAACATGAGCATCTTGATGCCAGTGGTATTCCCCTTCGCTTCAAATTGATGTCCACTGGAACCAAATTACGCAGTACCTTCCACGCAAAGAAGGACATCTTAAGCGGGACAACATTGCTCCAAAGAAGGTCATCCATCAGCGACGGAGTCCGTCTCTGGTGGATAAGGTCCCAAGCAGATGCGGTCGAGAATTCGCCAGAGGGTGAACTAGCCCAAACCATGCAGTCATTCTGATCAGGGTATAGGATAACGTCCTATATTTGCTGGACTAAGTGGTCAGGCAACCAACTCCTCAAGTGGTTGACTTTCCAGCGACCGTCACCAAAGAATTCTGCTAAAAGCATGTGGAACGGGTCACTGATGGAGAGCAGCTCTACCAGCGGGGATTCACGGAGCCACCGATCATACCAAAAGTCCACAAAGTCTCTACCCACGCACCACCTAATGTTTCGTTCTGTGAGAACCCGAAAATTTTCTTATTTTCTAGCCATTATTTTAATTCGTGCATACATTTTCTATACTTTCCTTTATTATATTAATTTTGTAGCTATTTTTATAAGGGAATTAAGTTTTCAAGACATTTTTTCGGTATAAGTTAGTTCATATGACATGAGTAGCGTATATTGGACGTGGGACCAGTTAGTGCGGTACGTGCGATAATTTTTGGCAACTAGTTGGAGTTCTGTGTTAAGGATATTATTTTACAAGGTGCTATAAGACAATGAGAGGTTGGCTAGGTAATTAATCATTGGTAACCAAGAGGATAGGTAATTATAACGGTTGGGTGGTTAGTAGATTAGTGAGGTGTAATTAAGCTTGTGGATTATATTAAGTTGGTGATCTATGGAGCTAATTGCAAAGATTAGAAGTTGTTGGGACCATAGTGTAAGGATTAGCAAAGTAAGTGTACTAGTAATCTAAGAGCTTTTAGGTTTTTCCTAAGCTCAACTTTGATTGGTGGAAAAAAAGTATACTTTGACCATTGGCTTAAATATCTTCTAAGTTAGTAAATCAAAAGAAAAACAAAGCCAAAACTAAGAGGAAAAAGAGAGAAAGAGCCGAGAGCATCTTGTGAGGTTCAAGAAAAAAATTTCAACTTTGGGTTCTTGATTTCTTGTTCAATCTTGCAAACTAACCGATAGATTCATCAAATAATCCATCGAAATTGCTTAGGAAGGTAGATTGCTACCTTGGAGTGGAGTGTTTTGGTGGTTCAAGCTTCCTAGGGGCTGTTGTGCTTCTCCAATTCTAGGTAAGATTGGTATTAGTTCATGTTTATGTTATTAATTGGTTTACAAGTGAAAGTTATGGTTTGTTTAGGTAGATTTCATGATTTTAGTGGTAGGTATAGAAAATTCCAGCTTATGTGGTTAAATTTCAGCTTTAGGGTTTCAATTTGGGGCTTTATTGTGGTTGGTTTTGGAGCTATCAGTTGGCTCAAATTGAAGGATATTGTGGCCCTCATTAGGTGTGTTTTGTAACTTATATGTTGTGTGTGCCATTGTGGTTGCTTTGAGTTGAGATTGGTGATGGATTGTAGTGTGGAAAGTAAAGGAATTAAAGAGGAATCTGTTTTGTTCTGACATGTTTCATTCGTCCATGTTAGAGGCCGAATCAAGCCTAGATCAAAACATAAAAGTTGTAGGGAATGGAGTTATATAGTTGCCTGCAAAAGTTTAGCTCAATTTGAATACTGTAGCATGTGATATGTCTAAAATACCCCTGACTGCCAAATGCCCTATTTCGCGGGCAGTTTTGAGATTTCACATTTCTGGCTTCATTTTGCACTTTGATCTGTATCAAATTAACATTTGACCAAAACATAAAAATTGTAGTTCTATGTTTCAGCTTTCCAATGCATTTGAAAACGCCTCAATCAGACTTTTGTAGCCTGAGTTATTGCCGGTTAATTCCAGTGCTGACAATCAGACTGACAACAAAATTATAGTTCTGTAATCTGCAAATTCGACCTGGATCAACTATGAACTAGGTTGAGTTTTCTTCATGAAAGTTGTACCCTTTGGCTTAGCTTCGAAATGGTATAAAGTGTACACCAATCTGATAAGCGTAGCTTCAGTTGTGACGAAAATGCTATAAGACGTCAAATCTGATGTTTAGCTATTTGCCTTTAAAATTGGTTTTCGGTTGCATTGTTAGACTTGTCTTATAATTGGATGATATTGAGCCTAGTTGAAGGGCTATTGTGTTAACATTGCTGATATGTGACTTTGGACTAAATTGAGGAAAACAATGAAGTCATAAATGGCTGGAAAATAGCTAAATACCAAGGGCATGCCGCCCAAATTTTCACTCGAGGACTTGACGTATGTAATTGTGGTTCAAGTGAAGAGTTGAGGTTGAATTGAACTTGAATTGTCTAGGTTATTCGAGTCCTCTTATGTAGAGGTATATAAGCTAGAATTTGACCGAAACTCATACCCTTGGAAAAATGAAAGTAGTGATCACTCGAAATATGTTTACCTCGGCTTTAGACCCAAATGCAAATTTCAAAGTTTTAGTTGCTTCTTTAGCAACGCTGAAAGAGTGAGCATGAATTTTCTAGAATTTGATACATAACATGAATCTTATCTAGACGAGTTTCATTTACTTGATCTGTTTAAAGCGAAACTCTTAAGTTTCGAACCCTAGTTGATTTCAAGTTTTGAAATGATATTGTATCGCAGATCTGGACTCCGACCAAGGAGTTACACCTGAACGTGATTTTGACAAGCACTAAACCTTTGGTGAGTGTTTCCAAGTGCATGATTGAACTTGATATTTGAAAGAAATACTTGACTTGTTGGACGGGCAAGGGTGTACTTTATCGCACTTGCCCTAATGTGATTTATTACTGTTTATTAATTATTATTTACTTGATATACATTTGTACAACTTGAATACTACCTGAGATCTTGTACTTGACTTGTAAGTATTGAGCGGTAGCATGTATCACACTCAATCCGAGTGGGAGGAGTCTCTCATCCCGTCTCACTACTTTTATCCTCACCCTATTGGTTAGTCAGTCGAATCGAGCTAGTAAGGGCTTGGTCAAAGAGACTGGCGAACCATAGGTACTGTTTATTGTTTATTATTTACTGTTCTCTTGTTTTGTCGAGTGGAGTGATATCTCCTTGACTAATCGGTATACTCGAGTATTACCACCAGTGTTTATTGAGGATTTTGGGCCCAGTAAGGGGTTTGGTTGGTGCACGGAGATTTACGTGAAAGTTGACGGAGTGTCAACTACTACTTGATCAAGCTCTGGTGAAGCAACGGGAACTTGGCTCTTGAGAGCCATCTATATTCTTATACTTTGACATGATTGTTACTTATCGGATTATTGTTTCTTTTGAAAAACTTTATACTCGCTCATTTTGAGATTTGCTACTTGAAGTGTTTTTGCTCACTTTTATGAACTTGTTATACTCGCTATTTTGCTATGTTGATACTTGTACTTTTGAATAATGGTCAACTTGCTATTTGGAACCTCACTGGGATTTTAGCTCATTCCACGCCATTTGTTTTCCTTACAGGGGGTACGAGCGAGGGCGTGAGACTTGTACAGGCTAGCATAGCCTAGTTTTTGAAATTTTACGATTATACTCGCGCTAGTGCTCGACTAGGGCTAAATGTATCTGGAACTTAAATCTTTTGATATATTTGGGATTGTATGGATGTTTGAAATAGAAATAAATGTATTTGTACGTTCCAATTTTGGGAACTATTATTTCCTTTACTCTTGAGATTGTAACTTATTTTATTTGAACTGAGTGAGTAAGTCCTGGCGAGAGCTGAGCAAGCGGCCCGCAAAACCCTGGGGTACGCCCTAGGGAAAGGTGGGGTCGTCACACGTTCGGCTATGCCTCGAATACTCTCCAGCCATCAGCACAAAGGGGAAGGCTTAGCGGCCTGTGCTTGAAGAGGATGACAGCCCTTAATATACTTGGAGTACATAAATTCCACCCAGATTGAGTCAACCTTCCGTAAGCGCCACCAAAGTTTACAAGCGAAAGCCGAACACATGTCTTCGAAGGAACAAAAACCCAGTCCACCTTCTTTCGTTGGGTAGCAAACCTTCTCCCAAGACACCCAGTGTATGCCCTTGGCTCGGGCGTCTTTATCCCACAAGAAGCTATTACAGATCCTACTCAACTTGGTCAGAGCCGCGCTCGGCGGGTCCAACACCTGTAGTAGATACATAGGCATGGAGGTAAGCACATTGCATAATAATATAAGTTTGCCCCCAGACGAGACAAGCCTCGAGCTCTAATGGCACAGCCGGTCTCGCATCCTTGATACAACAGCGTCGAATAAAATGAATTTGGACCTTCCTCTTGAGATTGGAGCCACTAGATAAGTGAAAGGGAGATGTTGCTGCTGAAAATGCAGCTTCGAGGCCACCATGTCCTGTTGCTCCCTAGTTGCCCAAGTGGACATGATAAAAGAGCTTTTGTGCGTATTAATCTTTTGTCCCGAATATGCCTGGTACAAGTCCAAAAATTCCTTCAAAGCATCTAAACCGCCCTCTGAGCAATGGGTAAATATTAGGAAATCATCTAGGAATGCAAGGTAAGGAACCTGCGATCCCGAAGAGGCATAGAAACGACTCTCATCCTGGCAGAATAAGTGATGCAGGCCCCTACCTAAAAATTCTGCGACCAACACAAACAAGGCAGGGGAAAGGGGGTCCCCCTGACGAACTCCCCTCGTTGACTTGTAGAAACCCGTTGGGGTTCCATTGACCAAAATCGAGAACCAATTATTCGACAGAGTTCTAAATATCAGGTCCACCACCCATTCATGAAAGCCAAAACATCGAAGCATAAAAATAAAAAATTCCATTCTACCCTATCATATGCCTTCTCCATATCCAACTTCAGCATCAAGTTCGGACATTTCACTCTCCTATCGAGATCTAAGACTATTTCCTGCGCAATAAGGATGTTGTCAGTGATGCTCCTACCAAGGACAAACCCTGACTGGCAGGGTGAGATTAATTTGGGGAGCAAGAGGTTGAGCCAGTTCGTTAATATTTTTGAGATGATTTTCGAGCTTAAATTACACAAGCTGATGGGCCTGAATTCCTGCCATTTTGATGCTCCAGTCACCTTTGGAATTAAGACTATCAATGCACTAGAGAATCCCTTGGGTTGGGGGCCCCCCTTAAAGAACTCTTGAACCGCTTCCAACAATTCCATTTGAATTATCGTCCAGCACTCTTGATAGAAAATCGCTCCAAACCCATCTAACCCTGGAGCACTTTCCTTTGCCATGGAGAAGACAGCTTCTTGCAATTCAGTCAGTGACGGCAATCTCTGACGGCCATCATTATCCTCTGGACTCAGAGATGGCAGCAAAAAATTCATGATTGGGTTGGCCCTGCCTTCATGCTCGGATGTGAACAACTGCTCAAAGAAGCGGGCTGCCTAATCCTTAATAGCCTCCTCATCCTCAATCCACTACCCTGCATCATCCTTAATTCGCGAGATGAAGTTAATGCTCCGTCGCTGCTTTACAACAGAGTGAAAAAATTTGGTGTTTGCATCCCCCTGCTGGATCCATTTTATGTTCGATTTTTGTTTCCAGTACTCGTATTCTATGGCTAGTGCATGTGCATGTTTTGCCTATTCCTCCTCTAACCGTATTCTAGACAACTCATCCTAGGCAACATCGAAATCCACTTGCCGGATCCGTAGCATCTCTGCCGCTTCGAGCACTCCCCGAAAAATATTGGCAAAAGACCATTTGTTCGAATTGCAGAGCCTTCTTTTAACATTCAATAGGCGCTGGTGAAAACCTATCATACCCCCTGCTAACAGGGACTAGCCAAGCTTCCTTTACCATGTCCTTGAAACTCGGCTTTTTAGTCCTGACATTTAGAAAGTAAAAAGCTGAGCTTCTCACTCTGCTCGCGCCGCACCTTATTAGAAGCGGAGCATGGTCTGATCTGCTGAGGACCAGGTGAGATACCTTGGTGACTTCAAATACATCCGTCTAAGCCTCATTCGTCAATGCTCTATCTAGTCGCTGCCACACCCTGCCATTTGTCCAAGTGAAAGGTGGACCGTCAAAACTGACCTCCGAGAGACCAGAATCGGATATGGCTTCATTGAACTCCTCCATGTTATGTTCGTTTGGAGGGGCACCGCCGGATCGTTTGTTGTTATTGGAGATCACATTAAAATCTCCCGCGACTAGCCATGGGCCTGTAAACCGCTCTTTAACCTCCTTCATTGCCTGTCACAGGTCCTTCCTGCCCACCCTCGTGCACTTGGCGTAGGTTGTAGAAAAGTGTAAAGTAAAACCGACCCATAAGATCACCATGTGAACCAACTGATCACCCAAATCATGGGGAACTAATGTTAAGTCATCATTCCACAAGACCCAAAGTTTGGGTTCAAGGAAGGATCCAGCGTTGGAAAACTGCAAACGGCGACATAGAGATGGTAGTAAATCCATACTCGCCATGGGTTGCAACAGAACCAATAACCCAATGCCATTTTGAGTACATAATTTATAAAGAAAATGCTGCGACAGCCCGAGCGACACCCCGTATATTCCACACAAGAAAGTTGATAGAATTAGTCATGAGGGAGTAAAGATGACTTAACTTGAGATAGAAATTGGTGTAGCTTCTTGTTATAATTGGTCGGGCGTCCAGATTTTTTTGCTAGTCTGTTCAGCAGCTCGACATCCTTCTCATAAAAAATTGCACCACATGATATGTGTGGGTCAAACACTTTCTCAAGTTTCAGATGGCCCGGCAATCCACGCATGAGTTGCTAAGGATCCGCCCTAGAGACTGTGGCTGCCTTCGACCAGTCTGCCGACTTGCTTCTGTGCAATGGGGTTGCGTTCCTTGGTGATGACGGTGGCGAGGGGGGTACTGATTTAGTCCGCATTAGCGCCGCACCTGGCAGGTAATCCTCCATTTCCCCCAAAGCTTCAAACGAATTGGAATGCATGATTGGTGTAGCAGCCAGCGCCCGAAATGTATGTGCGCCCTTTGGTGTCTGTGCATGCCCTCCACTCTCCCGTTGATCTGGCAGGGGTGCACTGGCCAGCGCACCACAGTTTACCTCACCCAAAAGGTGTGGGCAGGGTGTAACACCATGGTCCTGCTGCTGCAATGTTGCATCAGGGTCTGGATGCCGAAGCGCCACTTGGCGCTGTTGTTCATGATCGGAAATATCAGTTTGCGGGAGTTCCTTGACTAGCCCACGCGTTTCCCTCTGATCTTGCTTGGTTCTGCGAGCTCATGAGAGAGGCCATCTACTGATCCCCGAAGTGTTGAAGGCACTTGGCCCTACACCCCAACTGGGTCCAAAGAGTTTGTCATCAGTTGTTGCTGTGCCACAGGTTCTGAGGCAGAGATTTGCTGTTCAACACCTCTACCGCCTTGCCCTTATCTGTTTGAGTCTTGGGGATATAGACCTGGCTAGATTTAACGTTCTTTTCTATCTTTCGGGCTTGCTTCGGAGATGGGTTCTTCGAGTAGCAGTCAGCTTCCAGACGAACAATTTTCTCGCAAAAGAGACAATAATCCGGCCATGTTTCATACTCAGCCTTCTGCCATTGTCCCGCCTCCTCATCTCCTATCCAAATTTTCCAGATTGGATGCTTAGCCACCTCGACCTCGACCAGGAGGCGAGCTGGATAAGGTCGCCGAATCCACCTGCAGTGGTCTGCCAATCTATGAAAACCTAAAAATTTTTACATTTTCTCAGCATTGTTTTATTTCTTTGCCTACATTTTATACTTTCATTGGAAATATTAAAATTTCTATACATTTTTACAAGCAAGTACAGTTTTAAAATCATTTTTCCTAGTATGAGTTAGTGTACATTAATTTGAAGTGCGTTATAGATGTGGGACCCACTAGTGCGATATAAGTTTGGTGACTAAGTGATTTTTGTGCTAAGTGTTATTATTATACAAGGTGCTAGAGGATAATTAGAGGTTTGTTATATGATGTAACCATTGGAAGCCAAAGGATTAGAAAAAACACTAGAAGAGCCAAGTGTTGCAAAACCATTGGAGGTTGGACTTTGACCTCATTTTCACCTTTACTAAAAACCAAATTTTGACCCAAAATATCTTCATTTTTCTTGCTTCTTGACTGACTCTCTTGAGGGGAGAAACAAGAGAGAGCTCTTCAATTTCTTGCTTCCAAACTTGCTCAAATCTTGAGTTTTAGCCAACCAAATTTGAAACTACACCATACAAGTGCTTAACTAGGAAGCTTGATGGTTTTGGTGGAGTTGTTTTGGAGGAGGAAAGACTAAACCACTATCTTCTTGTGGTTTTAAGGCATCTTGCCAAGAAATCTCTCTTTACTTTTAATATTAGATTCGTTGTTAGCTTATTTGTGGTTCAAAGGTGCTTGTGATGCTTATATCAAGTGATTTTGGATGGTTGGGGGTGATGAATTTGAGTTAGGGTTTGAATGATTCACTTATCATACTTATTGTGTGGGGGGTATATGATGTATATAAGGTGGTATAAGAGGTGGTAGTGATGGTTTCAAGCTAAAAATGAGATTTATACCTTGATTGTAGCAAATTTTCAGAATTGAAGTTAAGGTATACCCTGTTCTGCTCGGTTCTATTTCACCATGTTAGAGGCTGAATTAGCCTTAGTCTAAAACATAAACGTTGTAGAGAATGATATTTTATAGTTGCTTGCAAAATTTCAACTGAATCCGAGCAACGTAACCTGTGAAAAGACCGAAATACCCTAACTTGAATCCAGTGATCAGTTTTGAATATTTCACCAATTTGGTCGTGTCTTTTCACCATGATATGTACTGAACTAGTATTTAGTCAAAACATGAAAGTTGTAATATTATATCTTAGATTTCCAACGCCACTGGAAATGCCTCAATCGGAGTTTCAGTAGCCTGAGTGATTGTCATTTACGCATAGTGTGGTTAACTGACCTGTTTGTGAGATTCTGGTTCTGTAATTCAAAGGTTTGACCTAGATACACTATGAACTGGACTAAGTGGTCTTCATCAAAGTTGTAGCTCTTTGTCTTAGCTTCGAAACAGTATAAATTGCACCTCAATCCGATAAGCGTAGGCTCAGTTGTGTCCGTTACGGAAAACAACGTCAAATCTGTCTTTTGTTTTCCAACTTAAACTTCATTTCCGCACATGTTCCTAGCTTGATTTTTGTACTTGTATGCCTCTGAGCCTATTGAACGGCTATTATAATGGGCTTACATTGTGTATGACTTTGGGACTGATCGAGGAAAAAAAATGAAGCCATAAATGGCTGGAAAATAGGTAAATACAAAGGGCGTGCTGCCCAAATTTGCACCCGAGGGCTAGGTAGATGTATTTTTTTTTACTTCCAAAACTATATTTATACTTTGTACAAGTAAATATTCGAATTTTCTTTGGTTCACCTAAACTTTGAAGGTTTAACTGTAATATTTTCTCTTGGTTATTATTAGGGTTTGTTTAGCTTCCTTTTCATATGATTTTACCCAAGACACTTGTTATACGTTATTTCTTTGCATATGAGTTGGTTTCGGACCAAACAAAGAGCTTTACGAAAATTTGAACTACTGTCTTTTCATATCCGGCCGTATTTTGAAGTGACACTATTAATTTATTTTTAATGGAATTTTCTAAAAACCTATTGGTATGGTTTGGGAAAACTCTTAGTTACTAATGTCCTCTAATCTAAATATACACTTTTCACCTTAAAACTCATATTTATGTATTGTACTAGTACGTATTTGGATTCTTTTTGAATCACTTAGGTTTTATGGTTGAAGCATAATGTGTTCTTATGATTACTATTAGGGTTCCTTGGTGATTGAGGGTGTTATCCGGAAAGATATTTTGGACGTTATTTTACGTAAAGAGGTGAGTGTTCCTTGTTTGTTGTATTTTTCTTGACTTCATGGCTTGTGTTATCGTTTGATAATGTGTTAAGTGCTTTCAATGATTGCCAAAACGAGTTTTCTAAGCGAGTGTGTACTTTATCGCACTCGACCTAAATGAATGTGAAATTTTCAATGATTCAATGATTGAAACGTTACTTGTGCATAAATGTAAGTCTTTCGGCTGAACTGGGCCCTGCCCTTCGTTACCGATCGACTCGAGCCAGAAGCAGACTCGGTCGGGCGATATGGTAACCCTAGGTGAATGTTTGGTATACTCGAGTATTACCTTGTAGTTGGTGGAGCCTGACCAACATCCAGGAGGGGGTGAATGAAATGAACGAACGAATGCCAATGCAAATGAGGGGTTTTATTTATCAAAATGCATTTTCAAATGATTGGAAGAATAAGGGAATGAATAAATGAATGAATAAATGGCTCCCTGTGAGCAAATAAAGTAAAAATAAAGGATTAG